CTTGCGCAATAAAGGAAGTATTCATAGCGTGTCCATTAATTTTTGCAGTTAAACAGTCGAATCCGCCGTCACATTTGCAGTGGAAAACATCAATAAATCAGGAAATTGAGTTCAATTATGGCTCCTGCGGTTGTGGTGATTTTATTAATGCATCGCTGTTTACTTTTCTTGGGCAAAAAGGCCACAAAACGCAATTTAGCTCAATGTGTGCGCAATGGGGAAATAATAGCGAAGCAGTGAATCATCGTTAACATGAATTAATCCAAACATCCACGTTTAAATACACACCTAATATTGGTTATGGTATTCAAATGCGAATTTTAAATAAACGAGCCCGAATAACAAACGGCCCGATAACCAGTTAATTATATCAGTGATTCATGTTTTTATTCAAAAACCATTTGGGGCGTTTTAGCGGATTGCAGCCAATAGCAATATTTAATTAGTAACTCGTACAAGGGCTGATAGTTTAATTTCCTAAAGGAAACATTGTCAAACCAGATTCGGTTACTCTGGGTTCATGTTTATTAGACGACGACATCAGCAGTTCATAGATTAATCATGTTCTGTTTGACAATTTTTTTCTTAGAGTAAACATGCAGTAGAACAGCAAAGAACAACGATTTATACGAAGCCCACGAAAAGTGATGATTAGCCCATGAAAAGAATTTTTTTCAATTTTCCAATTTTTGCCCCAACAATCCGTCTTGTCGAAACTTTGGCCCCTTTTCTTGCGATCACGCTCCTGAAGAATTTGGACAGATTTCAGGTGAACAACAACGTACAAATTTGAGGAGAAAAGCAGCTCAAACTGAAAAACACCAATTAAAAAAGCTTTCGATATCGACTCTATATTCACACAGTGTCAGAGTGTGTTGAGTACAAAGAAAAAAATTGTGTGCGTCGCTCGACAGAAGTGATAATATTCATTATTCATATATTTATAGAAACCATAAAATTTTGAACTTCTTTAACGCATGATGGCAATAATAATTTTGTTTCACAATTTTAATATTCTTGTTAGTCTAATAATTTATAAATGTTGTTAGTCTAATTAATTTCCTTTTGAATGTAAAATG